GTATCGTGCATCAATGCGAAGCCCTATAGAGAGCAGGGCTGGGAGGAAAAATAGCAGAGCACCTATAGTTGAAAGCTTGTAGTTTCGTGGGGCTGGTATCACTGCGACTGAGATCAAGATCGGAGCACAGCATGAAGCGTTAAACGCTTGCAGCTTTCTTGCTTCTCCTCTTGCGGCGCTCTTATCCCCAAGCCTCCACCTCGCCCAACTGGACATACTCATATCGTTCACTCCCAGAGCGTTCACTCTTTGTTGCTTGGTCCTTCTTGGTATGATCAGAGCTACACAATCCCTATGCCCTGCTCAGGACTAGAAAAATTGTCTCCAGACCCCTTCATGATGCTAATGATGCACTACTCGGCGTCATTTACATCACTTGCATCACCAAACCACTTTTTCGATGCTTTCCTGACCCTATTTTTTGAACGCTCTCCCCCACCAGGCTCAAGGTTCGACGGCCTCTGCGCGACCACCCCCCCCACACCACCTTTATTCACTTCGTTCACCCTACAAACTCAAGCCTTGCCTATCGGCTGGCTTTCGTGACATAATTATAGTTGTGATGGAAGCCAGCAAGGTGGAAAGAAACACTCGCAGTAGCGACTCCGGCCACTCTCTATTTTGTTGGCGAAAGGACGCGGAAGGTGTTGGGTGTTCGACAGATCAAAGGGCTTCCGAAGCCATCTAGAACTTTGACCATATGGAATTGAAGTGCCACAAAGCCACAAGGTCTGAGAAGAGGTCTTCCCAAATGGTTTCAAGGCAGCTATCAAACGATGATCATACTGGGAACAAGAAGCTACGAGGGGCTCCTGGCATCGCTACTAGGAGCAAGGACGCTACTAGGGGCTCCTGGCCGTGCTAGGAACAAGAAGCTAGGAACATTTGTTTGAAAATCCGCCCGCACGGAAGGTGCTGAGGCGTGTTATAGGGTTCGCATGATTCCGTAGTACCGATGGTACTAACTGTAGCGTTAGCTAGGGGGTGGGGCCATTTTCGCTCTAGAATCCTGTGTTTTCACGTTTTTCGAATCGGCTTAAAGTGCTTTCGTGCTAAGGTTGGGTATCTTGAAGGCTTCAGGGATGCAAGAAATGCGAGTCTCTGCTTTGCATCATCTGCATAATCTGGACATTGGGCTGAACAGGTTCCCCTAACGGGGCTCAACATAGCTTCCATATTGCGTAACCACTATCTAACGGACGTGTCTGCGAGATAGGGACTTGAACGTCCGGG